AAACCTTAAGAGATATTTCTCTTTTCCCCTCTAAGGAAACCGACACGTTTCCACGTGTTACACCGTAATAAAACTTTCAACACGGCGAATACACGCGTTTATTTACGGCATCAGGTGCATCCAAACTTGTAAAATATATATAAAACATATATATCTCGCTAAAAAGAAGACGGGCAATATCCTTCTCTGTCTGTTTCCGCGTACGAAATTTTGCAATTCTGATTATAGCTCGTGGAGCTCGTGTGCCGTTTAATTTGCGTAAACCGTGCTCGCAGCTGCACACCCAGTTGTAAACCGAGGCTGGGGAAAGCTCGAGCGATAAAAAAAAGAGAGAGAGAGAGAGAGAGAGAGGAACGAAAGCCGTAATTGATCGATTTGTTTCATGCCAGGTTTTCGGATTGGATGAAAATGTCAGAAATGAACGGTGGACCCCCGGCTCGCGTGAAATTTATCGCGCTCGAAACGTCGAATGGACGTTCCCCGAGCGCTGAAAATTTAGATAAGACTGGAAATTGACCGGTTTTAATTATCGCTATTAAAGGGGACCATCCGCGAAACTTTTCCTCGAGCCTGGGGGAAAATCGGATTGGCGTTATCTTCATTTGGGATTTAGATATATATTATACATGAAGTAAACGTGAAAAATGTGAGAAATGTATTTAATATTGTTATGTGTTTATGTTTGTCGAATGAAAATTTGCCGTGGAATATTAAAATGAAATGTTATAATGAAACGCGTTTTAATATTATTATGGATAATTCCAGTGTATTTTTCATTATTATTACAGAAGGATGATAAACTTTATATAAATTTCGTTGTTTATCGTTGCCGTTGCATCGATTTTTAATTGAGAATTCTTTGATTGGAGTTTTGTTAAATAACGAGGATATATAAATTTATACATTCTATTATTATAGTTTCTATTTTCTTTTGATTTGACTATGAATGAATCTTAAACTTCCAATATAAATGAAAAACTCGTTTCTATAGAAAGGTATTACGTTATTCGACGACATAATTTAAATTGTCTCTGTTATTTTGTTTTGCACTTGAGAATATTCTTTTTTTTTTTTTATCAGTTACGTTATAAGTAACATTAATTCATCGAATAAGAGTTATTTGCAATTCATTGGGAAAAGAAAAAGAGACTAGGCGGAGGAAGAACTAACTGGATTCTGCAATTCTAATTGTGGTCAGGAATTGAAGCTTAGTTTGCTTAGTGCATGTTCGCACGTTGGCTGAAAATATCAGAATGAAATGGTAGATAGAAGTGCTCGTTGGTTATGAAAACAGTGAAAATCGAGAAAGAGGGAGAGACAACTATGTCTTCGGTAATTACAATTAACGAGAATATATCTTACCTCTGAATTTTTACACCAATTATCTAATTTAGGAAGGAAAAAAGAAAAATTGGATTTTAGATACGATTTTTATACAAATTTTGAGAATTAAAAATTCTTCGAAAAATGAAAATGATCCATTTATCTTCTAAAAGTGATATTATCTAATAAAACTTTCATGGTTAATCAATGAAAATTCAATAAATTACAATAAATTGAGTGCATGTGATATCGTGCACATTGTGATCTGCAAATAGATCTCAAATTGAGATGTATATATATTTTTTTTCTCGCGCGTCGAATAACAAGGTAAAAGAGCAGAAGAAAGCAAACGAAAATTGAGAACATCGCGATCCTCAAAAGCAGTCCCCAGAAACTTTCAACATGCGCCATGTACCTGCCTACATTTCCTAGAATTTCTTTCAGTTCGAAATGAAAGGAGGAAATACTCCTCCAACTTTGCAGCTTTTTGGCTTTTGTGCGCCAAGAATTTTCATTTATTTTTCTTATACTTGTCGCAAATGTCGCCTGAAATATGGATGAAAAATATGTATAGATATTAAGTGTCGAAAAATGTTTAGGAGACTGATATACACAGTATTTTTGTATTTTCTTTTTTCCAATAGATATAACGTATTTTATGCAAATATTTTTTATGTAATTTATGTAAATTTACGCATTGATAGTATTAATAGAAATTGAAAAATCATTCGTTTTTTTGCGAATTTACGAATTTAAATTTATGAAAAAGTATATTTTATTCATTAACGATAATAAATAAAGTATTTATTAAAGTTTTGAAGCAAAATAATAGGAAGTTATAATTTTATAATTGAATTTAAATTGAAAGAATTAAAAGAAAGATTCTTTCCAAGGAATATATAATTGTGAAACGAATTTTAAGTTACAAGCATTTTATGAATCGAAAAATTAAAATAACATTTCGTCATTATTTTTCAGTTTCGAAAACTTTTTAAAATGTACATTCCAGTTACTCTCCCATTGACACCTGTGTTTACTTTGAACAAGACCAGTTGAATCTGTTGAAAAAACATATCTTTTAGAACGTGTACACAGAACTCCATTGCTACGTATTTACAATTCTCTCAATAAGCTTTAACTTTGCTAGAAAAAAAAAAGAAAAAATCAAATATAACAACATTTTATCGATTTTAATATTTCATAAAAAATTGCATCTTTTTTTTTATCTCAAACGTCATTACGATTACAATGCTATTTTGCGACAATACGTGATACTGCATAAAGAGATATTGATGACGCAAATATTAAAATAAAACTCCCATGAAAAGTTATTTCTCTATCGTATTTTCACACACATTTTATAGCGCATATACACGTGACAATTTTTTTTTATATTTATATAAAAAAAATATAATAAAAAATCTCTATAATGCAGAACATGTTTTAATATTTATTCGTTGAAAAATAGTTGAGTAGCATAAAATCGATACAATATCGTGTTCGTTTCAATGTGCAAGGTATATTATGTGTCACTCATCGAGTCATAATCGTAAAAAAATGTATTCCACAAAATATTTTCAAATTAAGTTTAATAATCTCTAAACGATAAAACAGTATTTTCGTATTAATTATTGCATTTTTATTTATAAGATCAAGAAAGATAAAAATAATCGAGAGTATTTCAAAGATTTAGATATTATTATATTATTGGATAGCATTGGTGAGAATAAGAAATTTAAAATTTAAAAGTTTGCAAAAGAATATTTTTTAGATTAAATTCGGTATATCGTGAAGTAGGTAGATAAAAAATAGAATAAATTTTAGTTGGGAAACTAGTATTCTATTTTCTGAAAGAAATTTCAAGTCTCATTCTGGTCACGTGACTCAATAGAGAAGAGTACGGAGTTTACTATTTCCAAGTTTTTGAAAAAAAAGTTCTTTCGATTTCTTTTCTTTCACATAAATTATTGCACAAACTGTACAACTTGAAACAAAGTTTATTGAAATTTTTCTGAATCGTAGAATAAAAATAATTTCTTTTTCCTTCAAGAATTTGATATAAACTTCAAGCTTTAATAGGAGGGGTAAGATTGAGATAATTACAATAAATGAATTCCATCTTTTTCATCTTGAATATGATCAAATGAAACATTCGTACATAATTGCTATAATTTTTCTTTTTTGTTCATATATAATTATTAGATTGATTGATAAAAATTCTTGATTGTATTGTGAATTTTAATTCTTGATATGATCCAAATTTGATCCCATTTTCCAAATGAAATCTCTTGTATCAAGCGCATAAGTTCTCGAATAATGAATTTTTGGGATAATAGATAGGTCATGTGGGATTACAGGCTCTACAATCATGATATTATCATGCAAATCGATAACGATTGATTATATTAACAATATAATCATTATCCTCAACGAAATTCATGCAAGTTGATCTCTTCCAATCAATAATTTCTTCAAATAAAAAACTATCCTTGCAATCTCTAAAACTTAAACTATCTTATGATCTAAAATTAATTTTTCAATATATATATATTTAAAATTAAACTAAAAAAAAACACACACATTGAAAAATATTTTCAAAAATAAAAATTCAAAGAATTCGCAGAAGATAAAATAATCCAATCCAAATCAATTTTAATAAATGTTACAATTATACACAGGGTCACAATAAGCGAAATATACGAAAGCAATATTCTACGCCAATTAATCCTCCTCCAGGTCACGGCAGTGTCCCCCTTTTCCAGTGACAAAGGCTCGCGATTCCCGTCGAAAAGATAATATGGCCGGTAAAATATCAGCCGGATGTTTCCCAGGGTAAGGGAGCCTAAATCAGCCCGCGGAGTTTCGCCCCTATTCGCCGGGGCGTCGAGCGACGTCTACCTACTTCCCCGTAGCCGGAAGCTAGCACGTAATAAGAGGTCTCATCCTGCAGCGACATCAAGAAGCAGCAAAAGCTCGATTCTGTTTTAATATGAATGACGTATACGGTTCAATTGCTCGGGGCTTTAATAGGTCGAATC